GACTGAGGGAAGGAGGAGCTCGTTGGGGAGGAGCTTGTTTCCTTTCCCCTTAGATTTTCCTTTTGTGAGAGCTCATTGGAACCAGCTCAGTGTGGAAGCAGTTGCACCTGGTGATCAAGTGCCTGTCCCTGGAAGTACAGGGCAGGGCAGGGCAGGTGCTGTGCACAGCTCCATGGGTGAAGCAAGGAGTTGGGGGGCTCAAAAAGCTAACAGGTTTCCGGGAGGGGAGAGACCACAGTCAGGGAGCTCCCTGTCTCATTCCTGATCCTCTCAGCACCCTGTGAGACATTGTCCTCTGCTGACAAGGAGGGAAGGGGCTCCATTCTCCCAGAGGTGAGGTGGCAAAGTCACCCTGGGCTCCAGTGCAGGGGCACTCTGGGTCACTCTTCTTCCTGAACCATGAAGAGCAGTTGGGCCCCAGAGGGCAGGAGGTGAGTGGAGCTGCCTCCTCGTGGGCAGTGCCTCAGGGTCAGTGCCTGGGACAGGGGGAGTGCCTCCTCAAAGCGTTTCCTTACTCACCTGTGGTCCTGACTAGGAGGAGGGCTGGGGAGGGAGTGAGCACCTGGACCATGTCCCTGAGGAGAGGACTGAGAATGGAAACCCCAGGCTCTGGTCAGAAGATCCATAAGTCCCTCAGGGGTCCCCTTTCCATCCTCAAATATTCTGATAATGGCTTTAAGCCAAAGATCCCTTCAGTAGGAGGGGTAAGAGAGGATCCCTCAGAGAAGACAAAGCCCGGTACCTGGAGAGGGGGCACCAGACTTATTACCAGCAGTAGCCATGATGTCCGCACGGGGGTCTCTGAGAGTTTTCCTTACAGCTCACCAGGGTGTCCAGGCTGGAGGGGAGAAGCAAACAGGTCATGAATAGGAATGGGAGCCAAATGGGGCAAAAGTGGCAAAAGCCAGGGGCTAGGGGCGGGTCTCCTAGGCTTCCTTCCGTGATGGCGTGAAGGTCAAAACAGATGTTGCCTGGGTGTGCTCCATCCCCCAGGCTCTGGGCTGCTATTTAAAGGAAGGCAGTCATCCTGCTCTAGCTCCCTCCGCCCTCACCCCCCGCCAGGAAGAGGTCTCGGGTCCTGTGAGGGAACAGAGAGGGTAATGGGGTGAGGACACAGCCATGCAGAACCCATGGAATCCATACATAGGGGACAGATGGGAAACCATATTCTGCTAAAAACCTGGCCTGGAACACCCGTGTTCCCTAATGATATTGGTTGGTGTTTATTGAGGGTCTGCAGGGTGCAGCCTCCTTCCCTGCACCTCATTTAGCGCTCACACACTCCATGGGGTGAGGACAACTATGGCTCTTTTTTTTTTTTTTTTTTTGTTTTTTGTTTTTCTCCAGTACCGGGAACCGAACTCACGACCTTGCGCTTGCCAGGCAGTCACTTTGCCGCTGAGCCAAATCCCCAGCCCCTATGGCTCGTTTTAAAGCTGTGGGAACCATCAGGAAGGTCAGGTAACGCGTCCAAGTTTTCACAGAAGTGCAGGGGCCAGGACTTGAACTCAGTACTCTCAGGTCCAAATCCCATGATTTGAAGACTACACTCTACTTCCTAAAATACACGAAATATATACTCATGCATGTGTGTTTATTGTCAGTGACGCTTCTCATCCCAAATCCATATCTGCTACCCTGTGCCCGTGGCCCTGTCTTAGTAAACTTCCCTGTGTCCTGTGATGCCTGAGGTCTTTCCTTCCTTGCTTCTGTACCGCTGCAGCTGCCCAGCGCTCTCTGCTGCCTGCCTTACCTGTTGCAGCTCACATTGTTTTTCATCCTTCGTAAGAACAATGATGCAGAACCTTCTCCTTGTGTAAGCCTTCCTCCATTATGTACCCGTGCTCTATGATGCCCTACACCATCTTAAGGTGCTCTCATCAGTAAGGTCCTCTCTGACGTCTAAGAGATGACAGCTCCATGCTCTTAGAATTTCCAGCTTTCGTGAGGTAAACAGTCCTCAACTTTACGGATGACTTGGTCTCAGGGATTTTTTTTTATAGCCATAGACACACTCTCTGGGCTACAAAGAATGACTCTAATTTTGTTATCAAGAACAGATTTACCTTTTTCTGGCCTCTTCCCTCCACAGAGCGTGTTGTTGAGATATCCAAAGAAAGAAGCACCCCTCCCTTTCCACAACTTACTCCACTCACCCTACCTGAGACCCACCCCTGCCCACTGTTCACCTTAGTTCCAGGCACATCCTGGACCCCAAACTGCACATCGGACCCCAGACCTTTGCCTGTGCTGGGCTGCACCCTCCCCTGGACACCTGCCCCACCTTCCCTCCGTGCCAGGCCCAGCTCCTCCCTGCTGGCTGCACCCAGCTTTCCCAGGTCCCCAGGAAAGTGGAGACTCCTGGGTCCTTTGATCTGGACACCTCGTGTAAGGACACATCTATAGAATAGCAGACTTATAGGCATATTATAGCAAAAGTTAGAAATCAGTTCATAGCCTGTGACTATGCTCATGGTGCTTGTCATGTAAATGTGTGATAATGTGCTAGGCCAACTTGACTGTTCAGCTTGTGTTTTCCTTAGTTACAAAAATCTGTTTTGTTTCCAACTTGCCTGAAGGGCTTCAGGTCTACGACAGACTGGCCCAGTCAGGACCCATTTAATTCAACTTGCTCCACTTATACACCCTTCCTTCCTTCCTTCCTTCCCAGAACATTAAACAATTCTTTTGAAGTAAGCCTGCCTGACAGTACGTGACCTAATTCTTGTATTCCATGTAACCAATCATGTAGAACCCGCTATCAGCACTGTGCTTCCCACTTGCAAACTGTTTAAACTGAACTCAAACCTGACTCTGGGCTGGGGATATGATCTTCTGGGTGCTCTAGCCCGCTAGCATAATAAAAGTTGACTTTTTGCTCCTCAGTGCAAAGAGTCTTCAAGTGGCTTGATGTTGGTTTTTCTGCATCATGAGGAGACTGTGATCACCCAAGCCAGGGCCCCAGTCATCATCCCTGCTGCAGTCGCATTAAGACCCCTAAGACCAACCAGCGTGGCCTCTGTCCCCAGCCCCGCCTGCCCTACACACTCATTTGGGAGGCACTCCTGGGACACAGAGTCCAGCCTCTGAGAACACAGCCCAGGTAACCTTCCCTCCCAGGGGAGTAATATCATTGCTTTTTTTCTTCTGTGTCTATGTCCAGCTCTTTCCAGCGGAGAACAACTCGGAGTACAACTCACTTTGCACACACATTCCATCAATGGTTTTAAATACTTTGGATGGTTCTACCGGACTTCCGAGTTTCCAGGTATTACCTTGTGTCCCCTCCCTACAGCTTTGATATTTTATATCAAGAGAAAAGGGATAATGAAAAGGAGAAAAATTTAAAAACTCCAGGGCTGACCTACAGTTGAATAATGGCAGGTCTTGAGGTGTCGTTCCAGGCCTGGCATCGAGATGACACCAGGGTCACACTCAGGCCTAGCTCTACTTCCCACCCCTCCTTTCAGCTGAAGGCACTCAGGACTGCTTCCAGGGACTTTCAGGAGAAAGGGGTGGAGATTATCACTTTAGTGCCCCGGCTGCTCCTCTGCTGACACAAATCAGGACACACTAGCTCTTCCACAGAGATGCATTTGTAAACTAGCATTTGACCAGATTAAAAATAAGTAGTACTGCCCATGGGTGTGGCCATGCACTCTGTCTTGGTGGGTGGAGTGTGGAAGGTTCCAGAGATTTGGAGAATGATCAGCAATTCCCACCCAGTTTGTCATGTGCCCCAAGTGTGTCCTGGTCACTTAGAGTAAGAGTGGATGGGTGTGAGAGTGATGCCTAGAGAGGTTTGGATTTAACACCAAAAAAAAAAAAAAAGAAAGGAAATAACTAACCATCCAACCAGAAGAGAGCACAGAATAGAGTCCAAGTTATAAAGCCACAGTGCTGCTGGGAACACCACTCTGCAGCCTGCCCCTCTCGGTGCCCACGTCTGGGCTCCATGCCTGTCCCAGCACACAGCACAGCCTCTGCCTTCTTCCTCCCTCCCCCACATCTAAGCCAGGAGACCGGTGAAGGCCATGGATGCAGGGCTCTCATCTACCTGCTCAGATACCTTCTCTGGGCCCCAAAAAGCTCATTCTCCTCCCAGGGCCTCCTTTACCTGTAGGTCCTGGCACAGAGCAGGTGCCCAGGGACAGCGTGGTGAAATAAGCACCGGGCTCCTTGTATCTCAAAAGAAACCCTTTTCCCTCATATGCCTGCATAGCAGTCCCAGCCTCAGGGTGACGAAGCCACAAGGGCAAGTGGGCTCTGGGTCCTCTGGCCTTCTCCACCTCCTTTGGTTCCTCCATATTTTCAAAAGCTCTGGCTACTACCATAGCTACCTCTAATCACAGTCTTCTGGTCGTGTCTCATTCTGCTTGAGCTGGGCCCATCGGAGCTTTGTGACCCATCTGTGTGGTCTTCTTCTCTCTTCTCTTAAGGTCCTAGGGAGGGGCACAGTCAGACAAACCTGGGCACAAACCCAGCCTCTACTGCTGCTGAACTGTGGAATCTGGGGCCCATTCCCTAGCTCCCTGAGCTCATCTATGACCTGGGGACACTAATGCTACTCGGCCTTCCCAAAGTTGCCAAAAACTCCAACTCTGTCCATTTCAGAACTCACCGTAGCCTTGCTGAGCTGTGCAGATCCTGTTGGAAGTTGCGGTCTGAGTAATGAATAGAGGCGTCCTCTGGGAAAGAGACCCGGGCTCCCAACAGGGAAACTGAAACTCAAAATTTCTGTGCAGCTCTTGCTTACATAACTTCCTACCGGACACCACCCTCACCGAATCTCCTTGTTGACCCATGGCAAGGAGCCAGCTGGACCTCACAGTCCAGGTGCTTCCAGCCAGCACTTCACTTTGGCTGGGTGAAGAAAAACCAGCAACTAACAGATGGGGGACCCTCCAATCACTATACCTGGCACCCCTAGGGATTGTACCCAACCTCATCCATTTTATACACCTGTTCCCAGCATACCTGGTTCTCTATCCCCTTTCACCCTCAGCACACCTACCACGTGTAGCATGCTTGGTGGATGCCTCCTGGGAATATACTGTCCATGCACGCAGGGGGGGGGGGCGCGGGGAGGCAGTGCTGGGGATGGAACAAGGGCCTTGCAAATACTGAGCAAGTACTGTACCACAAAGCACACGTTGCTCTTAGAGTTTCACGGGGTCTTATCCAGAGCACTTCCTCTCCCCTGGAGTTGTCTCCTGCAGGAAGTGGGGTGATTCCTGTAAATCTACTTGACCCTGGATCTCAGAAGCCTTTGGGAATGGCTTGTGGGAAGTGTTTTGAAAGGTTCAGAGATATTGCCTGAAAGAGTAGAGCTGGAACACCTTATGCTGTCCTGCATGGGAGACTCTGGTCAGAACTCAGATTACCAGGTCACTCATAGAAATCCTGCCAGTAAAGACCAGTCTCGGGAGGCTTCTGCTGGGAAGAAGGACTGCACTGGGTGTGGACTCCAGACCTTCTGGGTTATAGATTGGCAGAAAGTTTGTCTGCATTTTCTTCATGTCCAGAACTTTGCCTGAGACTGACATTAAGGCCAGCATACTAATGCCTCTGGCAGAAGAAATTTCAAGGCAGTCATATGTTGAAACGGTGACATGCCTACTTTTGGGGGCTTTTAGCCAGATTTATGTTGAGAATCAAGAGCAAAGAACTCAGCAGAATGATTTCAGACATTATGAGTTTGGTCAGAAAGAAAGCTCCAGTAAAGCTGTGAATTGCAAAGATAGAGCAGAGATCTTGATTACTGAAAAGCAACAGTAGAATAGAAAATATGGCCTGAGGGCATCACAAGAAGCAGCAGGAGTCCACCACTTGCAGCCTCAAAGCTGCAAAAGTGAAAGACTGCTTTGAGAAGAAAGCCACAAAGCACCATGTTCCAGAATGACAGTGGCCTAGAGAATTTGTTTCTCAGAAGTGCATTCAGAGTGCTCAGCAATCCAGGCACTCGCTCCCTACAGTCAAGAGATAGGGAAGCTGGCTACTGTTCCAGCAGGCAGCAGACCTTGGCATTATCCATGTAGTGCTGGTTTTAGATACATGCAGAGTGCAAGAGTTGTGGGGTTAAGAAGGCTTTCCCACAGATTTCAGACTTTTTTTCCTGGGAGGCCAGGCAATATGCCCCTGACAGTGCAGTGCGTGAAGCTGTGTGGGTGAAGCCAAGGGTGCAGTGGAGATCCCAGAAGTTTAGGTAAGCCAGGAACATGGCTCATCCTGATAAGGCAAGAGAGACTCCATTTCTGTTTTAAACCCCATAGTAAGAGAAATCACTTAAAGTTCACTTAGCTGTAGTTCACCCCAGTTGCCTTGGTTAGTTATCAACTCAGAGCAGAGCCATAAAATGGGATCAGAGCAAACACGACCAATTGGGAAGTGGGATAATAGTTAAAGTGCGGTGGTCATTTGGAGTTCAGCTGTCTGACATTCTAGGAGAAGTAAACTTTGTGCTAATTGTGTGACATTATTGTAAGATCCCAAAAATGAGGTAATGCTTAATATAAAAACCTAAAATGTACTTAAACTAAAGATGAGACCCAGATTGGCACAGATGTCTTCTCTGGCTCTTGGTTAGAGATTGTCCATCAGCTGGCCCAAATAAAGCTTTGTTCATGAATGTGCTTTTGGTTTTCTTGTGAGTATCTTTCTCGAAGGACTCGCTTACTATATCAGATGGAGGCCTTGAGCCCGAGATTGACTTCACAAAGAAAACTAACAAACAAACAAATCATTCCCTGAGGAGGCCCTATGCCTCCCGGCTTCACCAGCCACTCTTTGGGTGGCCGGGTGCCCCAGCTGATTTCAGCTGGCCACCTGGGGACGACTGCATACTGAGATGCTAAGACTACCTAAGTAGAACGGTGAAGCCCGCTCTCTCGACCTAGGAATGATTTAAAATTGGATTCTGCTGTTTGCCTTTGGTTTTTTTTCCAGACTGACAATTTGATGGGCCTGGTCTGCCAGACATGGCAACCGTCTGGTCTCAGCATAGATGAGAGTCTGTTCAGAGCTTTTTCTGAGTCTGTTCAGAGGTTTGTCTCTGAGTCTGTTGAGAGTTTGTCTCTAAGTCTGTTCAGAGTTTATCTCTGAGTTTCTTTTGGATTTGGTCAGTTCTGGACTCTAAAAATGTTTCAAATACATGGTTGGAAGTGACTCATGATTCCTGGCATTGCTTTGCTTTCTTTGTCTGCTCTGTGTTTTCCTCCCAAACGAACCAGTGATTTCTGGTCACTGCAGCCTTGGGCTCTTGTTTGGATTGTTGGCTGAGTAGGGGAAAAAACTTGCTAAGGAAAATTGTTCTCTCCTTTTTCTAAATTGAGCTATCATGGGCTCAACAAACAGTAAGCCCATCTTCCTGGTTTATACATGATTAAGAATTTTGACAAATGTAAATGTGACATTTCTTTGTGGATTCCCAGATCGAGTTCTGGTAATTAAGAAAAGGTCCCCTACAAACAGAATAGCTACACCTGCTTTTTTTCTGGGCTCCTGTTGCATGGAGGATTATTTTCCATCCTTTGACTTTTAGTCTATGGATTTCTCTTTGAGTAAAATGTGTTTCCTGTACACAGCATATCGTTGGATTTTGTTTTTTAATGCACTCTGCCATTCTGTTTCTTTTGACTGGAGAATTGAGGCCATTTACATTTATAGTTATAATCGATATGTGTTGATTTATCACTGTCATGTTATGTACTTGCATTGGTGTCCTACTTTTTCTACCTGTTTACTTGCTTGCTCTTCTTGACGTTTCATTTCTACTGCTGTTATTGAAATTGTGGTCAGATTTTTCTCTGTCTAGAGTATCTTTTAGTACTCTTTCTAATGCTGGCTTGGCATTCATGAAGTTCTTCAGTTGTTTTTTGTAGTGAAAATATTTTATTTCTCTGTTGAATTTGAGGGATAGTTTGGCAGGTTACATCAGTCTTGGTTGGAAGATGTTTTGTCTCAGGACCTGTAATACTTCACTCCAAGCTCTTCTGTCTTCTATTTCTTTGCTGAAAGAAACTCTCAATGAGTCCTTGATTTATCAAAATTGCATGTCTGTATTTGTTTTCATGAGAACCACTTTGAAGATATCAATATGTAATATAACAAGCATTATTAATTTCCCACCACTTTGTTTGTAACTCCATGTTGTCTGTACTGTTCTTTTGCTATTTTGTAAAAGGTTGTCTGTCTGTGAATGTTTTTGTCCTTTTATTTTTAAAATTAAAAAAAAAGGTCCCCTAAACAGAAACCCCTGTATTGCCCTCAGCACCTGAGAAAGATGACCCTTTTGTCTCCCTACTCAGCCGCACACCCCCATCCTACACACCTGTTTGCTTGCCTCAGTCGGAGATTCCATCCCAGCTGAGGCACTCAACCTGTGGCTTTTTGTTCCTGCAGCTGCAGGCAGCCTTCCCCAGAGCCTAGAGCAGTTTCGGATGAGGAAGCCTTCTCCTGGGGTCCAATCCCAGTCTTGCCTCTCTGGCAGGTTGCTGTGAAAAAGCTGGGAGGAAACCTTCATTCTGCAATTTGAGAACTTAAAATCCCCTATTCAGAGCAAACTCAAGCTTTGATTACTTTGCTGAAAGTGATGTTTCAGACTCTCCACCCACCTGCGTTGATGGTCAACAGATAATGTTAACTTTGTTTTCTTCAGAGGAGAGAAAAAAATTTTAAAGGTGGCAGAGAAACAAGTGAGATTAGATCCGGGAAAAATTGTCAGGCTTTGGGGAAAGGGCTTCTTTGTGCAGCTCATCATCCCGCAGATCTATGTGAGGTGACAAAAGTGTCGCAAGCTGCAGAAATGGGAAGGTATTACAGAGATGAACTTGTCCCAGCTGATAGAGATTGCCCAAAATTGGTATCATAACAGAGAGGACACAGAATGAAAGCTGCCAGTGGATGCTCTTCCCACTCACTCACTCACTCGTCCCTATATTCTGTGCCTAGTTTCTTCTGTTCTTTCAAGAAAGTGAGGTCCTTGTGTCAGGCACAAGTTCTTGTGTATTTCCACAGGGCAGGCACAGGATTAGGGCTCAGGGAGGCTTCACATGCAGAGACTGATTCCCAGAAGGAAAATCAGGGACAGTCAACTTGCTTTGTGAAACCCCAAATGTAGTGAGCAAAGGCCAGACAAAGGTCCCCATGCTGTCTCCTCTCCGCTGGTCACCCGAATCTGAAACTTGAGTTGTAGGACAGACTCAGAGTTCTTGAAGGAAGGGCAGGCAGGATGAGATAAAACTCCTGGCAAGGCTCATCGGTGACATTCACGATGTCTGTTCCACTGGAGCTTAGAATCCTCAGTGACAATAGTAGCTTGGCCAGAGGAAGGTCGACTAATGGATAGTTCTCCAACATACGTGAATTCCAGGGTTTCATTCTTATATATTGACAAATAAAGAGCTAAAACAGAGATTTGAAAATTGAGGTTTTTAAAGCTAAATGTTGTGCCCACTTCTTCATGCAGAGAGGGGCCTGCTGCCACTCCTGGCTCTGGCACTGAGGAAGTTTCAATAGAACAAAACTGTCAGCTTTTTCTGGTGTTACTGGTCAAACAAAGCCTAACTGAATTGACACTGTGTTTTCCTGCCTTTTCTTCTACTCCTCTTATATGTTAGAGTGCCTTAGAGGAATGTGGGTGAGTTGCGCTCACCATTCGACCAAATCCTAAATAAATTCACATTTTCATTTAATGGGCTTTTCTGATACTTTTGATAGTAGGTAGGAAAACAAAT